CTTTTCTGGACAATGCCCATCCAAATAATAGAACCATCTCTCTCCCCCTTTTTGTCTCCAAGAATCAAGCAGGGTCACAAAAAAGCAAACAACTCAGAACTCCAGCACTGTAAACAATATGTGAGCCTTAATCTGGTGAGCAGGACAAACAATTACCCAGGGAAGACCAGCCAAAACAAGTGAGTCCTCAAGGCCTTCCCAAAAGCCTAGCCCCCCACTGCACCTTCCCCGGGAGAGAATTCCAAAGGTGTGGGGCCATCCCAGTAAAGGACCTGTTCATTGCGGTCTCCCACCACGCGCCAAGAGGGCCTGCAACTGAGATCCCAGTGAGCAGGCTGAATGGCATGGGTGCAGGTGGCCCATTGGATAACCCTGGCCCAAACGATATAGGGATTTGAAGCTTAAAACCAGCCATTTAATTTCACCCTAGAGCTCCCTCCCTAGAGAAGCTAGACTGGCTCCCTCCTTGTTCTCCTTCCGCTGGCAGGCGAAGATCTTACCATTCCAACAGGTTTTGGGAAACTGGCAGCTTTAAGGAAAGTGGTGGTGCTGTTTTTACTGTAATTATCTGTATGTTTTTCATAGATCATCTCAGTTTTATTTCTATAAAAGCTCAATTGGTTTTTGATGGTCCCCCCCCCGTGTTTTTACCTGTTCTTAATTTTTCTGCATGCTACTTTGAGCTCCTGTCAGGGAAGAAGGCTTGGTATAAACAAACAAACAAACAAACAAACAAACAAACAATAATAACAACTTGGCCTGGAAACTCACTGCAAGCCCGTATAGTTGGCATAATACTGGTTATGGCTACATAGTTTCACTGAGTTCAAGTTTTTGCCCAGCCCCTGGTAAAAGGGTACACAAGGGTTGAATTCCTTAGCCTTTCGGTTGACAATTCTGCAACACTTCTCCCGAGGCAACAAGAGACGTTCTGGCTGCTGTGTGTTTTCCCACTCCATCTGCAGAGTTCTTCATCGCTGCTGCTCTCTCCACCTTCTCTAGCAACCTAACTTTGACATCAACCTCAAAAGACTTTGGATTAAACTACTGACTCTGGACCCTGTCCACAGTCAGAATAACTCAGTGCAAGTGTGCTGGAAGCTCTGCTTCTTCCTGTTTCCATCGCTGGTGGCTTCTAGTTCCAGCAGAGATCCAGGCTTCTGGGCAGACTTCTGTGCAGCTGAGCTGCTCCAGTTCCAGCTGACCACAATCAGCTCGCCCTGGCTTAAAGTAAGGACTCAGCTAGACTGGTAAGGAAAAAGCGTTTTATATGCATTGTATATGTGACATAACACTGTGACACCAGGTGGCTCTGATGGATTGTGACCTAAAAACAGATTATAACTTTCAATGGCAGATGTTAAGAACATGGTTTAAGATAGGGTTGCCATATTTTGAAGAGTAAAAAAGAGGATGCTATGACGGCCATTCAAAGCAAATAAATGCAAATTGTCTCAAATTTTATCCCTGAAAAAGAGGATGTGTCCTGAAAAAAAGAGGACACAGAAAGATTATTGCCTTTCATTATATTTTATATCTGAGGTTTGGCTTATTTTATAGCCTTTCTTCTGTTCTTTAGTCTGTTAGATCTGTAAAATTGTTGTAAAATTTGATAGTGCCACCTGAGGATCGGATGGTTTTAATTGGGGGCTGGATCCAGACCTTGGGGTAACATACTGGTCTGCTCTTTAAAAAGCAACAAGCTACTTACTTCCTTAAGGTGGGAACTATGTCACTACAACAAACCCATAAAGAGCTTATTTTGTAGCTGGAACTAAACTATAAAATTCATCAGCAGTCTTTTGGTACAGCTTTCAAATAAGCACGGAAAGACTGGAATGACCACAGAGGGAAGCGTTTTGTCTTGAACTTCAGTGAAAGATGCTAGCAAGCTGCCTTTGTTAGCATATGCATGAAACGAGGTGGGAAGGGCTGTGTTATTTTTGCCCCCCGCTATTGCAGGCATCATGGAAAATATGTCTCAAAAGGCTTCGAGATGGCTCATTAAGCTCCCGATCCATTTCTGCACACGCTGCTGCTACCACACTGACCTTTTACAGCTCAGACTACAGATGGGCATCTCCCCATTGCTGTCAGTGAGATGCAGCCTGTAGGGACACATAACCAGCGGAAGAAATACACTTTCAGCTGTTTTGTCTCTCAGACCCAGAAGGGGAATGGCAAGAGGATCTTTGTCCCATGAATGAACGAACACACACACATCATTCTCTGTGGTCAACCTCCGTGGATATCAGATAACTTTTGCTGCTCCTTTGCAAAGAGGAAATCACCTCTGTCTTGGGGGATGGGTGGGCATGCGATGCAAGGCCTCTTTGGCACTTCCTTTGTTCTTCACACAGCAGCATGAACACAGCCCAGCTCTGAACTCTTTAGATGGAGTTGATGGCAGCAAGGCACCGAAACCTCATTGTGTCTCACAAGGCATATTCTGGCAGGACTCCTCACAGACAACCACTTGCTGGAGTTTCGAATGCAGCCTGCCGAAGGGCAGGCATACGAAGCTGAAAGCAAAGGAGGGAAACAATAGCTGCCCCCACCCCCAGGTCTGAGAATGGGAAGTAGTTTTGTTAGTGCAGCAAAAAGAGAATGTCCAGCCGGGTGAATGAACTTCCTACCTATAACTTGGCAAAGCTCAGTCTCAAGAAAAACAGCAAAAGCCAACAAAAGACTTGAGTTAAAGTAATAATTAGACGGGAGGCACTTCAGCACATTGGCCAAAAGTTTGCAGCCTTGCCTTCTAAGTGAGGCTTTAAATTGAGATTTAAATTTATTAGGACCAATTGCTTTGAGTCACTGCACTCCATCAAATCACATAGTGATTCTTAGTGCCTTCCAATGTTTCAAGTATTTCAGTGGGTGTGATTCACCATTGCTGGTTGGATGGAACAATTCCACCTCTCCTCTCCTCTCCAGCTCTTTTGGGAGCTCTCTCTGATGCAGTTGGTGCCCCAATCCACCCACTGAAGGCCAGGGGTATAGACTACAGGAATCTCCACCCCACCTCCCATCCCTTTTCCCTTGCCTCCCCTCCGCAGATAATTCAAAATACCATGGCTTGTCGTACAGGTGATGCAACTGAACGAGAAGCAATGGAATCAACTTTCCAAGGAAGTTGGTATCTGCCCATTTCTTCCTCTCTCTCCCTTTAAGAAAAGAAAAGGCACAAAGTTCATTTTAGACTTGATTTCTGGAAATCATTGTTTGTTTTGTTGAATGTTTAAGTTTCTAATTAAGTTTATATTTAATGATAATTATCTTCTTTTGCTAATAATTCAAGCTTGTGTGTTGCATGGGCACCTTGTTACACTGGCACGTTGGTGGCTGTTGCTGAATAATAATAATAATAATAATAATAATAATAATAATAATATATTATTTATACCCCGCCCATCTGGCTGGGCTTCCCCAGCTGCTCTGGGCGGCTTCCAACAAAATATTAAAATACCGTAATGCATCAAACATTAAAAGCTTCCCTAAACTGGGCTGCCTTCAGATGTCTTCTAAAAGTCTGGTAGTTGTTGTTCTCTTTGACATCTGGTGGGAGGGTGTTCCACAGGGAGGGTGCCACTTCGACAGTGGAATTTGCTGCCAAGGAGTGTGGTGGAGTCACCTTCTTTGGAGGTCTTTAAGCAGAGGCTTGACAACCATATGTCAGGAGTGCTCTGATGGTGTTTCCTGCTTGGCAGGGGGTTGGACTCGATGGCCCTTGTGGTCTCTTCCAACTCTATGATTCTATGATTCACTACCGAGAAGGCATAGACTCCTAATGTGCCCCTCAAATATAGACGGTAAATTCACCAATCCCCTATGCAGGGATATATACATGACCAGGTGCACTTTGCTGGTTGCCAGTGGGAGGGAGATTTTTGTGTCCCTTACTTCAGATCTTAGCGATAAAGTGCCCCATTGCTATTTCTAGTTAGATGATAAAACTGTGTGTTTCCAAATTCATTTCTGGGTATTATGGAAGCACATTAGTCATTTGGAGGTGTGATTCATCACCTACATTTTGAAGAGCCACCCAGCCAGCCTTTTACCAACCTGGTCAACTGCTTTCTCACCACCTTGCAAAGGGAGTGGTGGTGGTGGTGGGGGGGAATAATATCTGGCTATCAAAACAAGCAGCCAGATATAGCAAGTGATGAAAAAACATTGCTGCCATCAGCTTTGGAGGAGGCGCTATTATGTCAATCAATCAATCTTGTATGGATAGGCTGTTGCATTCCTCAAATGATGTACTCAGGGAGAAATAGATCCATTAACTTCTAGTAGGTAAACTACAACATCTAAAGAGTGTAAGAGGAGATCAGTTTCCCGCTAATAAGACACTAAGAGCTGGATGGTTGGTCTCCCCACACCCAAATACCACTTCTAGATTATTTTTCACTTGCATTGACTTCAAACAGACTGTCAGCCTTTGCAATTAAATATCATTTAAAATAAGATTTTGGAGAGCTTGCTTGCCACCCACATACAAAACCCAACACGTGTGTGTGTGTGTGTGTGTGTGTGTGTGTGTTTTACTGTGGTGCCATATTCTTGCAAGGCACAGAGCAAATGGCAGGATGTTTACTGCAGCAGCAACTTAAAATACAAACCAACCCAGCAGGCTGGAAAAACCTCTGCTGCCTTCCTGTCGAGAGAAAACAGTCACACATTCTTAATAAAGGAAGCAGGAACTGTCAACATCCCCCCCCCCTTTTTTTGGCAACCCAGTACCTAGATGCAGGCACTGCAATGTCACAGTTGCTTTTTCTAATTACCGTTGTGGTCCCGGTGGTATGTCTTTAACGCGTCTTCCATATTAATGAAGGCAAGAACAGACAACACCACTATAGGAACTGCTTTATTACTACTCTACTGCTGTCTGTGGGTTTGGGTTTCTTTTGTATTGTTACGAACAGTCCTATTTTCCTGATAGGTCATATCAAACACATCCACTGAATAACAGCTATTGAAATCATCCATACAATGAATGCCGCTTGTGTTTGTTCGCTTGTGATGTTCACTAATCACTTGTTGTGACTCTTCGTACCATATGGGAGTCAGGGCTGATAGATGGGAGCTGCAGCCCTGGAAAATGGAGGGGCAAGAAAGTTGAGACCTTAATCAGGTTTCAGTCAATGATACTTAAAATCAACAGATCTTGATAGCCCAAACACCATTTGAATTAATGCACTGATAAATGCCTCCTGATGTCAGGGAATATAATTAGGTGGCCACAAGAGGGTATATATTATTGCCAAGTATCAAACTACTTGTTGACCTCAGCAGTGTTTCCTCCATTAAGCAACAAGAAGCTTGAAAGCTGGTTTGAATAAAATATTGGGTTCCATTACCAGCGACTGAGCAGCTTGTTTGAAGTGCTGTTTTTCCAAGGGAGATAACCTCCTGCTTGTTGTTGACAGCAACATTTGATAAAAGAGAAGTTCTCTTTTAGCGGAGCAGCCAAAAGCATTCTTGATTTCCTGACCAAATATGAACCCCCCGTCACCTAATGCCAACCTTTCCTTGACATTAGATGGCCGAGTTCTTGATTTTTGAAAATTTGTTAATTCACATCTTGTGCTGTCTGTTACTTAACCAGCTTTCACTTGCATTGATAATAGTGTATTATATGTATCTGGCTGACTGTACACATATACAACAATACAATCCTCATCACTATTACCTGGCCTAAATCTAGCTGACCAGTATTTAAGTCCATTGGGTTGCAACTCTCTTGGCCAAATGATACCCTGAGCTTCGTAAAACTTACTGGTGAGTAGCATGCCGGGTATCAACTGCTGCAATAGAACATCTTACAAAAAAGAATCATGTTTCCTCCCTTCAAACTTCTGGGTGACATCTAAATGCATACTTGGATGAAACCCAGAATAATGGAGAAAGGACACAGAAGTAATTCATGCTTCCTCTCTTGATGATTTCTTGGGGCATCATATATAATTTGTATTAAAGGGCCATTTGGCTGCCATTGCAAACTGAGTGGGGAATACACTCACTCTGCCCGGTCCGTTGTCAGTGGTTGAAGAGAAGATTGTTTTAAAAATGATTTAGTACATTTATCAAATGCAATGGGTTGAGATATACACATTTGGGCTCAGATTCAGTACTAGTCATGATCAGGCAGTCACTTCCAACGCTTGGGCATAGAATACACAACAATTCCAATTCATATCTTCCTCCTGCTGCTTCTGCACAGTAGCCTGTTTTTAACTGTGGGATTCCTTTGCTGGGTAGAGGCAATTACATTTCCTTCATGTGTAGCATTTCCTGTCCTTGACATTTCTAATATATCCTTGTTTATATCAATTTGCCTATTGCCAACAGTAGCCACAAGACACCTCTAAAATAGCAGCCAGGAGAGATAATATCCATGATTTCTCAGCCTTGGGGAAGTGCAGCAGTCTGCAATGCTTTATGTCAGGCAGAGGCAAACTCCGACCTCCAGATGTTTTGGGACTACAACTCCCACCATCCTAGCTAACAGGACCAGTGGTCAGGGATGATGGGAGTTGTAGTTCCAAAACACTTGGAGGGCCGAGTTTCCCTATTCCTGCTTTATGTCCATAGCTCACTACTAGCTCCTCCCCCATGATCTCCTTTTCCTCCACTTCATGAGTTTGACTTGCAGACAGAAGCCCACATTTTTATTTGAACTTTGGGGGAACTACCCTTGACTCATTCAAATCCAAAGTGCAATGGCCCACTTGCAAACCCTTCACAGTTTGTAATAACAAACATGGATCTGGGAACAATAATTTTCAAACCTCCCACCTGTTCAGAAAAGCGACCTGCAATAGCAGAACGCCTAAATGGGACTGACTTGTAAGTGTGCTCAGAGTTGCAACTGCAGAAAATAATCCACGTTTCCTAAACCAAATAAGATGGCACTTCCTTGCCTTGCTGCCTGGCACTGTTTTCCCTGAAGATGCCAAGGACTGAACCTAGGGCATTGCACATCTATGATTACATTATACGATTTGTAATCATACCTCTAAAGTTCAATGGGACCTCACGCCCTGTTAACTGTGTTAAAGATTATAGCCTATCTGTACATCACATCCATAACTATATTTGAAGTTTGCTCTTAATCCTATCAACCTTGTGTTTGATCACCCATATGTCTGGGGCTCTGCCATGCCATCGGACAATGGTGGGGTGTTGGCCAGCAGCCATATTGCAATTCGAAGGCCATTTCCCATTCAGAGAGACAAGGTGACGGAGTCTGTGACTGCTCCTCTCCACCTCCATGCTTGGCCAGTGCTGGAACTATCATTCTCTGGGGTCGAGTCATAGGCTCAGGGGTAGAGCTCATGATTGGCATGAAGCAGGTCCCAGCTTCAATTGCTAGGTAACCAGTTACAGGATAGCAGATTCTGTGGAAAATTCAACTGGAGACTCTGGAGAGCTACAGAATGGGCAGTGTGTGCTTGTGTGTGTGTGTCAATGATTTAACCAGGCATATGTACAAAGAAGCCCAGTGTGTGTTTCTTCACTTGACTACTCATTTGATCCTTTGCACTCGAGGGGTGTCATGATGTGGCCCCATGGGATATATCTGTTGCTAGTCTTTACTGCTTTAGGATGCAGGTGGAAGGTAGACTTAGAGCTGAGCCAAAAGTCATTCGGAGAACTTGGATTCAAAATAAGAGGCTTATAGTGGCCACTGCCTGCTTGTATATATCTGGTGGCAGTGCTAGCTACTCCCTCCAAATCATTTTTGCAGTTTTTTCATTCTTGCTGGTTTCTATGTCTTAATACTGTTTCTGTTCTGCATTATGTTTTACATTCCGTTTCTGCACACCGCTTTAATATTCTTTGAATGTAGAGCGGTTTATAAATTATGAAATAACTAAACAAATACAGGGCACAACACACTTCCACTGCAAAATGCTCACAGCCTGTTAAGGGGCATTTTTCCTAGAGGGAATTTTAAAGTTTGGATGTCCATACCATCTGTGCTTCTGACTGGTGTGATCCAGGGCAACAGATCTATCAGAAGGCCCCTCTCAGTGTGGGAGCAGCATCGCAGCTCATGCCATTGGCATGACAGGAGCATTCCAGCTGTGGCACCCGACTGTGGTGGCGCTGATTTGCACATCATGATCTGATACTGTGGCCATGACAGCTCTGTTCAGGCCCTTCTTATCTGGTCAAGCTTCCTGTTTGCAGGTAGGACTGTAACTGCGTTTGGTCACCTGGGCTTGTAATCCTCCTCCAGCCTGCCCAATGCAGGAATGTCAGCTGGGAGTGGGAGGAGGCAGCAAGAGCACCAGGAACAACTAGCCAAGAGGAAGGTCCATTGCTCAGAAGCAGGGCATCTGCTGTGCATCTCAGGGTTCAAACCCTGGTTCAGGCTGGGTGGTCTGGTCTGCTATAAGGCAGCTTCTTATGTTCCTAAATAGCACTTCAGTGGCCACAGTATCAGCCCCTGAGCAGTTTTCAGAAGACAGATCAGCATCAACTGGTAAAATTCTGGGTGATTTGCTGAAGATCTGCAAGGGTTTCTGTCTCCCCAATTGTTTAACAGAAGCAACAAAAAGGCCTTTCACCCTTCTCAATTAGGCTGCTGAAATTAAGAGAGCTGTGAGCTGGGGGGAATTGGGAGCTGATTTTTATGTGTGAAGAACTAAGAGCTCAATTATGATCCTGAAAACAAATGGCTCTTTCATAATCTACTCTCCTGGTTTTGCACCTGGTTTCAGCTGGTGAACCTTGAGGTTCTACTAACAAAGCAAGGGAGGTCCTGTAAGCCTGAAGTCTTCTCAGCCTGCCTTGTGACCTCTCCATGGATACAAGAAACAAATGCCTGAGCAGGGCTTGGGTGATTGTGTGAAAAAGACCCAGCAAGCACAGCCTTGCTGCTTCACCCCTTTTCTGTTTCACATAGCGTGTTCTCCATAACAGAGAGCACGTGTTGCGGTTGGGGGAACAAGCCCCCCTGCCGTTACTGGGCAGATTTTGGGAGGAACCCAAGCCTTTAAGTGGTTAAATTGGGTTGCTGGGGCGTTTTGATTGTTGCCAATTTGGAGGAGGGGTCAGAGTCTTTAAATACAGGAAGCCCAACGTTGGGCGTCCTCTTGGCCATTTTGCATCGGATCACATGGAGCACTTGGACAATCTTCTCATTGTCTGGTTACATTTCTTTATTTCTTTATTTCCCCTTTCTTTTCATCCTCTCTAGTCCCTTAAATAATTTAATTCCCCCCTTTTCCTGTTCGATTTCCCACCCCACCCCTTACCCTGCCCTGTGGGAAGATTCTCCCTGTATCTGTGGCTTGCCTTTCCCAATAGGGAGAGAGCCCCCGTTAGGGGCTTTCTTTCGCAAAAAGGTTTCCCCCATTTCTCCTGTTGAAATTGTGGGGCTAATCAGGGCTGTTCCCAGCTTAGCGGGAGTCACTTTCGTTTATAGTATCCCCGAAGGTTGGCTTTATTTTGGGTGTGCGCAGCGCTGTTGGCCAAATTTTAATCTAGCTTTGGGCGGGAGCACTAATTTGAGTTCCTTTAATATTGCTATGAGACTAAGATTCTCAAGAGCAGAAGCAGGGAGGCCTATTCGGCCTGCACATAACTTCCAAGCCTAAGTCTGCTACAGGTAGCACTTAATTGTGAAGTCTCTGTGACATGTGACTCATTCTCTCTCTGAGAAAGTATCTTTTGCTTGCAGGCCCAGTTGCTGCTAATGTATATCTGAGGCAGACAGAGGGCGCCAGAGGCTTTCTGTGCCTCCAGTGACTATGAGCACTCTGTGTATTCTCTTGAGCTATGTTGTTTCTGAACAAGTTTATTTTCTTCAGGTTTGTTTTGCCCTGATAGTGGTGACTGCCATTTTAGAGATGAGCCAGTGTGGCTTAGTGGCTAGAGTGCAGGACTAGGTCCTGGGACACAGGGTTCATATCCCCCTCTTAGCCATTGTTATAACAAAACAAAACAAACTGCTCCTTTTTGGCTATTCTGTTGCTGGGTAGTTTGGCCCATTTGTGATAAAAGAACTTTGGGTTTCTTGAAGGGGTGCTTCCCTCTAAAAGGGCAAGCAGGGGTACCTGGACAAGCTGTGGGCCACCTCAACTCTGCTATTTCACTGGAAACATTTATGCCTGGCCTAGCAGGTGATCCTAGGGCTTTGCCCTAGAATTCGATGGCCTGGAAGCATTTCCGGCCTGAATAGTGTCCCCATGTGGTGCATGAAGCATTGGTTTCACTGGGTCAGCGCATAGTGCCGGTAATGCCTAGGTTGCAGGATTGGTCCCTGTATGGGACAGCTGCATGCTCCCCCATTGCTCTACCTGGACACTTAGGTCCTTTTGGTGGTTCCCTCACTGTGAGGGAAGTAACGGGCACCATGTTTGCAATATGCAAGCGGGAGAAAGCACCTTTGCGTGCCCGCATTGCAGTTTGCTCTGTGCGTTGCAGGGCACGGCGCTGCACGGGCTGCAATTGCATTGCATTGCATTGCATTGTGTGAGAGATTTGCAGTTGCATTGCACGGAGGGTGTGTGCATTGCACGGAGGGTGTAAGTGCATTGCACAGAGGGTGTAGTTGCATTTCACGGAGTGTGTTGTTGCATTGCACGAAGTGTGTTGTTGCATTGTACGGAAGGTGTGGTGCATTGCACAGAGTGTGTGTGTGTGTGTGTGTGCATTGCACGGAGTGTGTAGTTGCATTGCACGGAGTGTGTGTGCATTGCACGGAAGGTGTAGTTGCATTGCACAGAGTGTGTGTGCATTGAACGGAGTGTGTAGTTGCATTGAACGGAGGGTGTGTGCAGTGCACGGAGTGTGTAGTTGCATTGAACGGAGGGTGTAGTTGCATTGCATGGAGGGTTTGTGTGTGCATTGCACGGAGTGTGTAGTTGCATTGCAAGGAGTGTAGTTGCATTGCATGGAGTATGTGTGCACTGCACGGAGTGTGTTTTTGCATTGCACAGACTGTGTGTCTGAAAAGGAAGCTGGCTCGGCGGCAGCTTTGTCGGGACTTCTTTGGGGGTTCTGGCCAGCGTCGGCCCTGTAAATTTACATATCATGATGGCAGCACAAGATGCCCCCTGCCCAAGCGGGGGCTGGAAGCTGGCAAGCAATAGCTCAATACTTTTTGCCCATATTCCCATTTTATTTAGGGATCCAGTTGGATATCGTTGCTAAAACACACCACTTGCCTATGGAGAAGCTGTCTGCCTTGAAGGAAGTTATTTTGTAATACTTCCTCTGTAGCAAGTGATGCTTCATCAGATCCGATCTTGCTGGGTCACTTAATTAATCTTGCATGCAGAGTGGTTGCCCCAGGCCACCCCTTCCATTCCCGCTAGGCCAGGCTGCCTGCGGCCTGAGGTCCCCTTACCTTTGTGTACGCCTACCAAGTGAGGTGAAGGCAGATATCAGGCGATGGTTGCAATTCCTGAATGTATGCAATAGTAGTTCGCCATGGCAGGATACCTTGAACCCGCACAGGGATTTTCAGGTTCATGCTGGTGCTGCTGGATCTTTGCCCTTTGGTTTTTTATTTCAGGGGCTGCTGGTGTGCATAGCCATGGCCTCAAGCCCGGTGTGGTGAGGCAATCATGTGACCTAACTTTTCTTGAGTTTTCCCCATTGTAGTAGCAGTTCACATGTGGCCCGAGGAGTTCAGTGACCATCGGATCTGCTTTTGGTCGGATAACCAGGCAGCGGTGAGCGTCTTGGCAGAACAGTCCTCAAGCTCCAGCAGAGTCTCCGCCCCTCCGCTCACGCTTTCGAGCTGCGCCGCTTAAGGTTTAATATTGTGCTTTCTGCTCTCCTGATTACGGGATCCTCTAATGATGTCGCTGACACTCTATCCCATTTTCAGATGAAGCGCTTCAGATCCTGGGCTCCAGACACTCAGCTACTGCCAGACTTTTCCAGACCACCTGTGGCACTTTGACAACAATTAGTAATTACAGAGAGCAGCAGCTTCCATTTCCCCTTCTGCTTTTAGCTCTTATGAGAAGGCCTGGATGGATTTCATAGCCTTAAGCTGGCAGTCCTCGGCCATTCAGAAGAACTGGCTCCCATCCTCTGAGCAGATCCTGCAGTATTTGGTCCACCTGCTGCAGGTTGGATGTGCTGTTAAAACTATCAGTATTCAGTCCGCTGCTATGTCTGTTATAGTAAAGCTTTAATTTGCAGAGACCCTTGTATAAAGTCTGTCGTGCACAGGGCCTTGGAAGGTTGGAATAGGCTCCAACCTCATACGACAGTGGGCAGGAAGTCGGTCAATTTTTACCTATGTAGTATCTGCAACAAGTTATAACTTGTCTGCTGGTTAAAGATCAAGGCGAGACTCCTTTCAGTATTCCATTGCATTTTTGGTGCACTGAGGGTTGGGGAAATTGTGTTGGAGCCAGCACGGGGCTGAGAGTCTGGAGGCTTATTGCTTCTGGACTTTTTCTTATCTGCTTTGGAGCTGGTCATTAGAGTGGGGAACTCTAAAACAGACCGAGTGGGCAGGAGTGCCACCATCAGGCTTCCCCTCACAGGTGAGGAGGGCCCTTGCCCGGTTATGGATACCAGAAATATTTGGCTTTTCGTTCCCCGGGGGCTGGCCCGCTCCTAGTGCATGGAAATGGGTTCCCGTTAGCCAGGCATCAATGTGCTTACGTCGTGCACCAGTTATTACGGCCTGCGGCTTGCTTACCGCTGAACACGCCTCATTCCTTACGATTAGGTGCTGCTGCAAAGGCTGCACACTGGGGGCCTGTCAGTAGACATGACTGTGAATACGGGTCATTGGAAGTCTGACGCTGACAAGGGTTATATCAGGAAGTGTCACAATGATGTCTGCTGATGCTTGTCTGTTATTTCCTTTTTCATAGGAGCAGCTGTGCACATTTGGGCCACAGCATTGTACACTGGGCTGGCAAACGCGCTGACGAGTCTGGACTGGGGCGCCATCTCAGTCTTCCTGCCCATCTGAGCATATACTGGGTGTCCAGATGGGGAATGCTTTGGGAGGAGTTCCTTCCTTTGGTGCGGTCGAGTGTGACCTGTGCAGGTCCTCCCGCAGTGCTAGTGGGGCAGCTGGACGAGAATGACTTGCCGTCTTCTTACAGCATAAGTTTGCGTTCCTGCATGCAGGAGGACTTGGATGAGTTGATGGCAGCTCTCCCTGGACTCAAAATAATTTAAGGCATTGGTTCAAGGTGGTCTGGAGGGGGGGTCGGAGCACCTGTCCCCTCCAATGCGCAAAGGTAATCCTTTAAAGGAATCCAAGGATTCACCATGCTTTTGTCGACCCCTTTCGAGGGGCAGGGCCACGCAAGGGTCCCTGGGAACATTTGGGGTGCGCTTGAGTCTGATCCTGGTTCATTGCTCCCCCACGCGGTTTATTTGTACTGACGATATGGTGGGGCCCAGTCGTCAGTGCTGCGCTGCTGAGGTCAGGCGCAGCTAGTCGGGAACCAATGCCTAGACAAACTACCACCGAGGAGGCCGGAAAGCGTGTTAATAAGGCAGTGGAAAATAAAATACAGGTCGTTGGAAATCGAATGCATTCAAAGGTTATGTTCGTTAACATTATTGGTGTCTTACAAGTTTTGCTTGTTTTATCTTAGGTTTAGCAGCTGTCCGCATCTGGATGGTGGGGCACAGCATCATGCATTGGGCTGGCATCAGTGCACGGCAGTCCGGATTGGGACCAGGTCTCGACCTTCCTCCACATGTGCAGTTGCCTTGGCTGTCCAGACGGGGAATGCGCTGGCCAGAATTCCTGCCGCTGATTCGGAGGCGGGTGCTGCTGGAAGGGCCGCCCACTGCTGTCGTGGTGCAGCTGGGTGAGAACGACCTGGTTTCCATGGACTGTTTTTCACTACGTGCTGCAACTTTGGGTGACCTGGAGAAGCTGCGGGCAGTGGTGCCGACAGCAAAAATATTTTGGTCAAAGCTTTTGCGACGACGTGTTTGGAAGGGTAGTCGTTGCCCAGCTGCCACTGAAAGTCCAGGAAGCGCATCAATTCTGCTGTGTCTAAAAAGATTTTGGAGCTGGGTGGAGATGTGATTTCCCACCTTGAGATTCTTTTTCAGGCTGAATCCTTTTTCAGAGATGCACCTTTCTGCCTTAGGGAATAAGGCTTGGCTGGGTGCTGTGGTGGCTAAGCTGAAGGCTTGGTTGGGTCTGTGAGTGGTTTGGCGGTGAGCTGAAGGCTCCATGGAGGTTAGGCATTGGTTAAAATTGGTTCTTGGAGGGGTAAGTGCCTACCCCTCCAAATGGTGCGGAAAGGGAATTCTGTTAAAGGAATCCAGGGGCTTGCCATTCTTTTCGTCCTTGTCCCTGGCATCGGACTTGGGCCGTGCAAGCCCCACAGGAACATGAGGGTGAGAAGTGAGGGACTGATGCCCAGCTTCATTTTCTCACCCAATACTTGTTTCCCACGCTGGCTTCCGTTGGTGTCCGGAAGGCCAGCTCTGTCCCTGAGGGCAAGGACAGATAGTCATAACCAGTGCCTAAGCAACCACTCACATTTTTTGTATTTTGAATAAAGTTGTGGCCAAAATTATGCCAAAAACCTTAAACAAAAATTGATGTGTGAAGTGTGAATTTTTTGGGGGGTGGCATTGTGGGACTCAACACGCAATTGTCAGGCCAGGAAGCAAAACAATGCTTCAGACACAAACAGCATCCCAGAGTTCTATGGTGCCTAGTTATTGACAGCTAAATTAAATAAAAGCAAGATTTCCCAAACTGAGCATTACAGCTGTGAGTCATGAGCATTGCATTACCTAAGCCTGGTAAATAAATAATCACAACTAAATACAGATAATGTGTTAAACAGCTAGAGCTAGTAAATCACCAGTGACAGAGCGCCTTAAGGTAAATTGTTTTTTTACATTGGCAAAGGCCTTTCTGGGAAGGCACTGCATGTGTGTGTGTTTATGTCTTCAGACATGTAACAGTAACTGGTTACTTAATGCTGCAACCATTTAGAAAATACATTTTACCTCCATCACTTAACATTACTTATACACAGAAACTAAGCTTCTGTGGAAGAATTATGTTGCTGGCAGTAACTACATGCCTGATGCTCCTTTCTAAGAAGGATATTTCAGATGTCAAAGCTACACCAGCTTAGAAAATATTTCCTGGTAAAATAATACTTTATAGCACTCAGAACAACACATTTTAGATACATAAATTGATTTGTATCAATTAATTATGAAGAGAAGCTTCAAACATCAAACATGGCCATTTTGTTAATTCAATAATGGGCTCTCGGGTAACAATTCAAAGTTGTCTAGGGCATATGGCGTTCAACATGGGCAGGAGCACATGCAGACCTCAGAATGTCACTTAGGAGACATCCAGACTCCACAATTTGTAGGTGATTTGAAAACTATATCAAATGAATTGTCATTTCCTGCTACCATCACTTCGAGGCAGGAGCAGATGCCATGGTGAGGCAGCGGTGCCCATCTCACCTTGTGATGTTGGGAAATGGGAGGTGGTGGCAAGGTCAGTGCAGTGCAATGCACCCGCGGAGCCAATCTGGCACTCCTGCCTGTGTTTGCACCATGCTAACCTCACCACCACCTCCCACCTTCGTCTCCATCTCCCAGAAAGCAGCAGTGATGTGACTGAGCAGAGGTCAGGTGAGTGCCGCCCCCACCACACTGCCAGCTGCAAGGAGGGTCACCCCGATGCAATCTTAAATGTCAGGAAACAAGGCACCTCCTGCTCCTAAATAACAGAGCCCAACTTGAGTATTGTAGGCTCATGAATCAAACATCTGTGTGATGGAAACCAAGTTCAAAGTGAGCTGTTTTCAGATACAAGGACAGGGAATTATTTTTAGTCCTATTTTGCTTTTAAGGATGTGATAACCATTGCACAACTAACATAACATCACCTCTGATACTACTCTCTCACTTCTTTAGTGGAGTGAAAAATGTGGAGTTTGAAGTAAAAGAATGGCTGTGGAGCCTGAAATTTGCCAGCCTGAAGTAAGTTTGCTTTTCACACTGAAAAAAAAAGTAAGAAAATGATGGGTTCATATTTAATATTGCTGCTATGTTGCACAGTTTACCCAAAACACAGATATGGGGAACTAAGGAGATATATGAATGTTTTATGGTGCTCAGTTGTACTTACAAATTTAATTCAAAGAAAACATTAATTTTAAAACGTAGCTTTCGTACGAATCAAATGCGGAACAGCACATAGAAAAGTGTGTGCAATGGACAGAGAGCGAATAAAATTACCAAAAATTCTTATAATAGAGAGTGATAGGAGAGAGAGAAGGAGGGCTGTGAGCTCAAGCTGAAACCTCAGTCAATGTAACAGCAATTTCCAGGAAACCAGACAAAAGATTGTTTGTACCACATGGGCACCAAAGCATTTTCATGCTCCATGAACCGAAGTCTAGTATGAAACTTTGAAATATTAGGGTAATTTGAGAATTCAACCATGACTGTGATATCTAAACAGACGGCCTGTGTTCATGTGAGTGAGTGACGAAGCTCAGTAAAGAACAAGGTTCCAGGTGTTGGTTCAAGTGTAATTTTTGTTATTAAACATGGGTTGCGACAGAAGCTTCTACAAGGACTTGCACATAACCATGACTGATGGATGTATTTGTCGGCCGTTCAGTTAGCTCCATCAACTCACTCAAGACACATTTTGAACAGATTATGTACTGTGGTACTTAGTGGACCATACATTAAACAAGAGACTGCTCTGAGGCTCTGCTTCCCACACTCCACAGGGGGAAAGAAAGAAAAGGAGAGAACAAAACTCATAGAGTTTGACAGCTACTGAGGCAACACTTGCCATTTACATCATAAGCCCAAATATATTTTTTTTGCAACACAACTATATATTAATTTAATAAAATACACAATATAGCTCTTATACACTCAACAATTTGGCTCAAATGCACTGAATTGCAATAAATCAATAAAAATATGTCATTTGATGTAAACACATTGAATCTTCTTACATTTGCACATTTAAATGGTTTTGTGTGGATTTGTGTTGATGTCTGAAATGTTTGCACTCACTTGAGCTATTTTAGTGTCCACAAATGAATTACAAAAGGTGTTAATAATGTTAATTTGTCTCCTCTATTACCTATCAAAAGGTAATTATTATTTGTGATCTCATATTATGCCTCAGGTTTAAAACATACTGCTAGCCTAGAAATTTTGCTGGACACTAAAGCATTTTCCCCCCCTCTCCTTTCCACGTGAGTTAGTTTATGCAGGTGCAGGACAAACAAGGACTCTATCATTTCACATTTAACTTTAATATGACATGAGCTGTGTTACTAATGACCAGAATATTTTTGCTGAACAGTGTTATGGAATGGATTCTTGGGTTTCTTTCTCTTTTTTTCCCTTTTTTTCTTTTTTTTTGGTGGCAGATAACTTTATACAGAAATGGTTGTCACAAATGAGTGTTAATTCTTAGTGGGGTCTGGTTGACTACAAGACTTTTTGTTTCTTGGTTTCTGATTTTGGGATTTTCAGTAGAAGCCTATAATGACCGCTGGAAATCTATCAGAGAACTATTCCACCCTGCTTTTTATGGAGTCTACACATAAACAGTGAACAACTATCAGTCCTAAAATATCAGGTTCCATTTGCCTATTTTCCCTTTATATCTTTCTATTAGATTGTCAAAGTGGCATCATTTTTCTCCCTCCTCCTTCCTTCTCGTTAACATACATCACGCCGTTCTAATGAAAGTTTGGTAAAAACGAAACCAGTGTTATCTGTGGAAAAAGATAGAGCAGTGAAAAGAACATACTTGTGGGCACTTCAGATGTTCACTAAAAGCCTTAAAGCAGCATTGGTCTTCGTTCATCCCTGTATAAATTTTAGAACCAGGGGAGATTTTTTTTTTTATTTTTAATTCAGCAGAAGAAGCAAACAAATGCCAGGCTGTCTTTTGTGGTTTTTGTTTCATTTCCTCACAGCTACAGGGTCATTTCCCCGACAGTCCTGCAAAAGCTTGTCAATCTCCCGCACTACTTCCTCTGCATCCACTGACTCTCTCCCTAGTTCCCTGTTTGAACGATCTATCTGCTCCAACACAGAGTCCATCTCAGCGGAGTCTCGGCTCACCCGGGAATGCACCTCAGCAAAGACCCTGGCCATCTGATCGGACGCAATGAAGGCAGCGTCTCTGGACTGTTTACTAGGAGATAGGTACTGGCTGTCACTGGCTGTCATGTACTGGCTGCTGGGGTCAGCCAAGGCTCCTGTTTTGACTTCGCAACTATCCAGCGGTCCTTTTGTTGAGGTGCAAGGCTCAATACAGGTCTTGGTTGGGCTGCTTGATGCTGAGGGAACCTCTTGGAGGAGAGGGCTCAGGGCACGTTTGGCTTTGAGATAAGGTTTCACATTGGCAATGAGAATAGTGTGCTCTCTCTTGTCTTTCCCAAAGGTACAAAAAGTCTTTTTCCCCGTGGGGTTCACAGTTTCGTAAGTCTCAGTCTCAACATTAGCTTCCACTGTGGGGACAAAGAGATTTGTTCGATAATCTGCATTTTCAGCCTGGTTGGCAGCAGGGAACTGGGGCATCCAACATCTGTCAGAATGACCAAGCACTCGGCATTCATCTGTGCAATTAACACACTCCTCTTGTTCTGCAAAAACAAACAAGGGGGGGGGGTTACAATGCTTTTAAAGTCATTAATCAGCTGCCTCAATCAGATCACAGCTTGCTTATTTGATCACTGGCCATCCTCATTACAAAAGGAATCATAATTAAAACATTTCAGGAGCATTGCATAAACCAACAAGTTGAGACCATCGATTTATTTAGAACTATTCTCAAGGTACATCAGTGGCTCTGTAGCCCAAAGGAAGCAGAACGGGGGCCTTTAGGGAGCTGCTCTCCATGGAACTGAGCTTCAACTGTAAACTAATCTGCGGCAGAAATCTGTTTGTCTCGCTACTGCTTAAATCGTTTGAGAGAAGAGCAAATGGTAGTGAACTAACTCAAGAGGAATTATCAGTATTACTTTTTAACACAAGAACCAATAACCGAACAATGGCTGACTCTACATAAACACAAACACTTCATAAAAATTAAGCAAGCTGAGCTTTCATCTTTGACATCTCTGTTGTTTGTAAATGTTTTGTTGCATGGCAGTCGTGTAATAAAAAGTGTTTCTCAAAAAGCTTCCTTTTCTAGCAAAAAACACAGGAATGAAATTTTTCCGCTTCTGCGCATTGAGTACAAGCTTGTCAAAAGAGCTATTGCAGCTGTTTTATTAGACATGAGTATGGATTGTGTAATTGGCTTTTATCTTTTTTGCTTTTGTTTTGGTAAGAATCTGTTGGAAAATTTGATTTCTGCAGCACTTACTATTAGGAAGTGTCATACATTTATGTTTTCTTACAGCTGATAATATTTTCCAGTCAGATTGCTTTCTTCTCTTTTCTCAAGAATCGTTAACAAAGTGGATTTTCTTTTCTCTGCCATGATATTCTCATGAGAATTATCAAAATGCCTGGAGTTACAATGGGCAGTGTGTATGTGTGAGTGCACTTAGAGGAAGGGCGGGTGGTGTGCACATGTGAAAAATGTGTCCTGGACACAATGA